TATTAAGATTTTTTGGGTGGTGTACTAGTGAGTGTGGTGAGTTTAATGTACTGCTGTACTCACTTTTTGTTAATTTCAGATTTTATTAAGATTTTTTTGGGTGGTGTAATAGTGAGTGTGATGGGTTTAGTGTTAGTTAATTACTGGTGTACTCACTTTTTGCTGATTTGTGATTTTATTAATTTTAAGATATTTCGTGTGCTAATCACTGTGAAGGGTTTAGTGTTGGTTCATTACTGGTGTACTCACTTTTTGTTAATTCAGGATTTTATTAATTTTGGGATTTTTTGGGTGTTGTGCTAATTGCTGTGGAGGGTTTAGTATTCATTAATTACTGGTGTACTCACTTTTTGTTGATTTGGGATTTTATTAATTTTGGGATTTTTTGGGTGGTGGGCTAGTGAGTGTGATGGGTTTAGTGTTTGGTAATTATTAGTGTATCTACTTTTTGTTGATTTCAGATTTTATTAATTTTAAGATTTTACGTGTGCTAATCACTCTGAAGGGTTTAGTGTTGGTTAGTTACTGGTGTACTCACTTTTTGTTAATTTGGGATTTTATTAATTTTAAGATTTTTTAGGTGGTGTGCTAATCACTGTGGAGGGTTTCGTGTTGGTTAATTACTGGTGTGCTCACTTTTTGTTAATTCAGAATTTTATTAATTTGGGGATTTTTTGGATGGTGTACTACTCAGTGTGGCGGGTTTAGTTTTTTTAGCATTACTGCTGTGCTCACTTTTTGTTGCGAGATAGGATTAGTAGGAAGGTAAAGCAGGTTTAAAACTTTAAAAGGAGATAAAGAAAAACGTGTGTCTGTGACAGCCCTGGGTCTGTTTGTGCCAGGGGTGTCCCCATGGGGGCACTGAGGTGCCCACACTGGAGGTGCTGCTCAGGTGTGCCCAGTGTCCCCTGTCCCTGTGACACCCCAAACCCCCCCCTGTGCCCCCCAGGTCCTGCTGCAGCTCCTCATCATCCTCACGGGCAACTACAACTTCTTCAACGTGCTGACCATCGTGCTGGCCTTCTCGCTGCTGGACGAGGAGCACGTGGGGCGCTGGCTGGGCCGGCCCCGCCGGAGGCAGGGCAATGGTGAGACCCCCAGGCTGGGTGGNAGGGTTTAGTGTTGGTTAATTACTGGTGTACTCACTTTTTGTTAATTTGGGATTTTATTAATTTTAAGATTTTTTGGGTGGTGTGCTAATCACTGGGGAGGGTTTAGTGTTGGTTAGTTACTGGTGTATTCACTTTTGTAAATTCGGGATTTTATTAATTTTAAGATTTTTTAGGTGATGTGCTAATCACTGTGGAGGGTTTAGTGTTGGTTCATTACTGGTGTACTCAGTTTTTGTTAATTTGGGATTTTATTAATTTTGGGATTTTTTGGGTGGTATACTAGTGAGTGCAGAGGGTTTAATGTTGGGTAATTACCGGTGTATTCATTTTTCATGAGTGTGGTGGGTTTAGTGTTGGTCAATTACTGGTGTGCTCACTTTTTGTTTTATTAATTTGGGGATTTTTCGGGTGTTGTGCTAATGAGTGTGGTGGGTTTAGTGTTTGTTAATTATTAGTGTACTCACTTTTTGTTGATTTCGGAGTGTATTAAGATTTTTTGGGTGGTGTACTAGTGAGTGTGATGGGTTTAGTGTTCGTTAATTAATGGTGTACTCACTTTTTGTTGGTTTGGGATTTTATTAATTTTAAGATTTTTTGGGTGGTGTGCTAATCACTGTGGAGGGTTTAGTGTTAGGTAATTACTGGTGTACTCACTTTTTGCTGATTTGGGATTTTATTAATTTTGGGATTTTTTGGGTGGTGTGCTAGTGAGTGTGGTGGGTTTAGTGTTCGTTAATTACGGGTGTGCTCACTTTTTCGATTTCAGATTTTATTAAGATTTTTTGGGTAGTTGCTAGTGAGTATGGTGGGTTTAATGCTGGGTAGTTACTAGTGTATTTGCTTGTTGGTTATTTGTGATTTTATTAATTTTGGGGTTTTTTTGTGTGTTGTGCTAATCGCTGTGGAGGGTTTAGTGTTGGGTAATTACTGGTGTACTCACTTTTTGTTGATTTGGGATTTTATTAATTTTGGGATGTTTTGGGGTGGTGTCCTAGTGAGTGTGGGTTTAGTGCTGGGTAATTATTAGTGTATCTGCTTTCTGTTCATTTCAGATTTCATTAATTTTAAGATTTTTTGTGTGCTAATCACTGTGAAGGGTTTAGTGTTGGTTCNGGTTCAATTTTTGGGCAGTAAATTATGGAAAGACCTCTTGGACCCCCCTGTGTTGCCCAACCCTGAGGTGCCCCTTAATTTGGAATCATCTTTGCCCCAGAACGCTTTTCCCTGTTTAATATTGGTTGCACTCTGCTGTGGGAAAAATCAACATTACCCCAGAATTGGAGTGAATTTTTGGGAAGCAGAGTCCCTTTGTGTCACCCAACCTCGAGGTACCCCTTAATCTGGAATCATTTTTGCCCCGAGAAGCTTTTCCCTGGTTAGCCCTGGTTGTACTCTGCGATGGGAAAAGCTGGGATTACCCGGGATTGGGGTGAATTTTTGGGAAGTGGATTATGGAAAGCACCCCTGGACCCCCCTGTATCCCCCAGCCCCGAGGTACCTTTTCCCTGTTTAATATTGGTTGCACTCTGCTGTGGGGAAAACCAGCATTACCCCAGAATTGGAGTGAATTTTTGGGAAGTGGATTATGGAAAGTCCCTTTGTGTCACCCAACCTCGAGGTACCCCTTAATCTGGAATCATTTTTGCCCCAGGAAGCTTTTCCCTGGTTAGCCCTGCTTGTACTCTGCGATGGGAATAGCTGGGATTACCCGGGATTGGGGTGAATTTTTGGGAAGCAGATTATGGAAAGTCCCTTTGTGTCACCCAACCTCGAGGTACCCCTTAATCTGGAATCATTTTTGCCCCGGGAAGCTTTTCCCTGGTTAGCCCTGGTTGTACTCTGCAATGGGAAAAGCCGGGATTACCCGGGATTGGGGTGAAGTTTTGGGAAGTGGATTATGGAAAGCACCCCTGGACCCCCCTGTATCCCCCAGCCCCGAGGTACCCCTTAATCTGGAATAATTTTTGCCCTGAGAAGCTTTTCCCTGGTTAGCCCTGGTTGTACTCTGCGATGGGAATAGCCGGGATTACCCGGGATCGGGGTGAATTTTTGGGATTTTTGTCAAACCCCCGTTTCTGTGCCCCCCAGCTCTGACGTACCACTACGAGACGCAGTGCATCCCCACG